GGGCGGGGCGGGGCCGTCCCTCCTGGGCTGGACCTGGGCTGTGATTTGGGCTGGCTTTAGAATGGGGGTGAGATGGGGCAGGATGGCTGGAGATAAAGGCGGGCTGGGGATGAGGCAGGGGATGGAGGTAGGCTCGAGGAGGGGTTGAGGCTGGGGTGCTTAGATTTGGGGGGCCTTCATTCACCACGTAGGGAAAGGGCCGGGGCTGAAGGTAGAGATGTGGGTGTGGGGGCGGGGCTGAGGGGGGAGGTGCAGCCGGGACCGGGTTTGGCAGCGGAGGGGCCGCTCTGCAGTGGGGGGTGACCTGTGCCGCCCTCTTCAGAGTCTTCCGAATCCGCCTGGGCCACCTTTCCCAGTCTCCCGTCTACGAATCCGGGCAGCAGCTGTTCACCGGGATCAAGTCCATCCCCCACCCCGGCTACTCCCACCCGGGCCACTCCAATGACCTCATGCTCATCAAACTCAGCCGAAGAATCCGCGAGAGCCAGACGGTCAAGACCATCCGCATCTCCACCCGCTGCCCGTCTGCGGGGGCCAGCTGCATGGTCTCCGGCTGGGGGACCACCAGCAGCCCCCAGGGTGAGCTCCGGTGCCCGCGTGCCCCACCCCCTGCCCTCTGCCTCTGCTGCCCCGCCCTGCTGACCGCAGCTCTGCTCCCACTGTCTGTGGCCAGTTAACTTCCCGAAGGTCCTGCAGTGCCTGAACATCACCGTGCTGAGCCAGCAGAGGTGCGCGGCCGCGTACCCGGGGCAGATAGACGCCACCATGTTCTGTGCGGGGGACCAGGACGGCCGAGACTCCTGCCAGGTAAGGGCGGCGGCTCCGCGCCCTGGCAGGGGCCTGGCCTCGGGGGGCCGCGGGGCCCACGCTGGCAGAGCCTGCCGCTCGCTCTGCAACAGAGCCATCCAGTAGCAACAGGGTGAGGTTTCCCAGTAGCACATTTTCCAAAGGACAAAGAGGCGATGAACTGCTTCCCTTCCAAGGCACGCACCCTAGTTCCTCTCAAGATGTGCCCACTATGGAACAACGATGAATAAGATATTTTACACCCGTTTTCCCACAGAAGATTCTGAAAGTCAGCACACGGGTTTCATCACCAACAGCGTTTCTGCTTGGGCCGCCATGTTTCAGGGGCTCAGCGCCCCAGAGCCCACGGCTGATGCGACAGGCAGCACAGGCCCAGAGGGCGTGGCCCGGGCTGCCCTGTGCGGCTGGCAGGCTTTGCCCCGCACATCTGAAGGGCCTCTCTTCAGTACCAGACTTCACAGTTTGTCTCGTACTGAGGTAAATGTTGGCGGCTGGCCACGAAGCGTCCTGCTCCCTGAACTGTGTAGTGTGAAGGTTTTCCGAAAGATGCCGGTCAAACGTTTTGAGGAAGGAAAGCAGAACCCTCTGTTAGGGTTTGAAAAAAAGAGATTTTTTTAATGCAGAGGATTGATCAGAAAGTTGTTGGAAGGAAAAAAGGTCAAAGTTGAAGGAAATCTGTGACCGGGAAATTGTAGATACCGCATAATAAGCTCAGGGTTTTGCAGGAAAAATAACTTCACACCAGCAAACAGTGAAATGGTGGCTGGGAGGCCTCTTCCCCGGCGGTGTGTGCAGACACCGCGGAGCCAGCCCTCCCTAGGCCAAGGGGCGGGAAAGGCACGTGCCAAGGTCCTGGGGCAGGGAGCAGGTCGGTGACAGAAAGAAGTCAGTGTGCCTGGGGACAGCATGGAGGCGGAGGGGGTCGGGAAGCCTTGGGGCTGAGATACCAGTGGGAGGAACAGTCAACACTCATCTTTGCTGCCAGATGAGTCATGAAATTGCCACAAAATAACTTCCTGATTTTCTCAACTATAGCATGATTTTAAAAATAGGCTCTTCCAGGCTCAAACAGTCAAGGCACTGAGCTGCTCAGCAGACAGGCACTCGCTGCGGCCTTCGCTGTAGGGTCCTCAGTAATTCCATGGTCGGAATTTCAACCCGTCTTTCCTGGCCCCGGCACAGGCTTTCTGAATGTGATGCTGTGAGAGGACAGAAATTCAGGGAAGCCCTGTGCCCTGGAGACCTTTCCCGATTCTGGCCTCGGGGCTTCTCCACGGGTCTGGCTAACCAGGTCTCTGCTGCCCGGTCACACTGGCCCCTCCTGACCGTGAGAAGCACCCCGCCCCCAGTGTTATAAACCTGACAGTTGCAATACTCCGCAGGCCTCCCACCTTCACTCTGTCCCCCTTGCAAGGAAGCCCATTCGTAGGGCATCAAATTGAAAGCCAGCATCTTAAATCATTTAGCCTCTCCGTAGCCAAGGTAATTGGGGGGGGGGTGTAGACCTCAAGTTGCTTTTCATACCTGTGGTCTGGGTGTGGCCACTCAAAGCGAGAAATAGTATGAGACAAAGCAGAATCATCATGGCGGCCAAGCGCTGAGCCTATTCAAGGAGCGCAGTGCATCTGTAGCTAACTCGGGAGAAGCCACACCCCGCGAGGGCCCAGGTTCAGGCCGTTAGCCCAGAGCTTCTCCAAGGGGGCCCTGCAAGGCCAGGACACCACGATGCGGACTGGGCTGGGTGGCCCTGGAGCCGCTGGACAGTGGCCGTGGGGGCATCAAGCCTGCGGACTCAGCTGTGCAAGTGGAAGAAGCCAGAGCTCAGGCTTCCTCGTAATTAGTGCCGGAGTCTGTGTCATTCGTGTTTTGCATTCACATAAATGAGGAATGACAGTAAAGAACGGTGAGTATTGTTCCAGGAAGGTGATTGCAGGGAATTTTGGGGCGTTAAGGACAAGGCAGCCCACGTGAGTCCAAGCGCTGGTTCTGCCCCGGGGCCTTGGCGCCCGCTCCGCTGTCTCGGTGTGCCTGGAGGCTCTGGGGTGCCCCCGGCAGCCCCCCATAACCCAGAACTACTGGGCCCTAGTGCCTATGGCGGTCACGGGCGCAATCTTCATGGGGGCCGAGAACCCCCATGAACCGCTCTGCAAAAGTGAGGTGTATGTGACCCGGTAGAGGGGTGTAAGGACAGGCGAAGAGCAGGGAGGGGCCCGAAGAAATTCAGTGGAGGGCGTGGGGTGCGGTGCTAACGTTCTCCCTCGTCTCCCTGTTCCCCGCACCTCCTCTGCCTCCTCACCTCTGCCTTCTCCACCTGTGTCTCCCTCCCTCCACCTCCTGCTCCTCTGCCTCGCCGCCCCCGTGCTCCCACAGGGCGACTCCGGGGGGCCCGTGGTCTGCAACAACTCCCTCCAGGGCCTTGTGTCCTGGGGGGATTTTCCCTGCGCCAAGCCCAACAGACCCGGCGTCTACACCAACCTCTGCCGGTTCAACAAGTGGATCCAGGACACCATCCGGTCCAACTGATGAGTCACCCCGACACCTCCCCGCTTCCCTGCGCCCCCACACCCACACTGCTCCGGGGGCCCAGTCCTCCAGTTCTTTCCCCAATATGGGAGGACGTGCGTCTTCGCCTCCCCAGCGCCCTGGGGTCCCCTGGAATCAGGACCCCCTTTTCCACCGTGGACTGCTCCTGCCTCTCTGGATGGACCCTGGAGAACGACCAGGATGGGCTGCGACCTAGGTCCCCCCAGTGCTTCCTTCCACGGCCCCCCTTTCTCTGCTGTGGCCCAGACATGGCCCCAGAAATAAAGAGTCTGAGAAGTGGACTTGACGTCCTCTCCACACTGCTCCCCTTTGTAGCAGCTCCTCTTCCTGCCCCCACCTGATGCTCTAGTGGGGTGCCTCAGCTGCAAAGCACCGTCCAAGAAAACCCCCAAATCAGAAACTCACTCAAGCTGTGCTCATTTCCTTCTCAAGTGTGAATGGAGATGTGCCCGGAGCCAGGCTGGTGTTGGGGGTACACCCCCCCCCCCCAGTAAACCTGGAAAAGGACTTCCTACCGCCTGGGGACACAGGCGCTACAGAGATGGTGAGACAGGGACCTCCCATCAGTCTGGCAGACAGGGCTGGGGGCTGCTTCGGCACGGTGTGGCGGTCTCGGCCCCTTCCCAGGCCGCGTGTCCCAGTGCCTGGAGCGGGCCCCTTCAGCGGGCAGAGACTTGGCAGCATTGGCTACATGCGGGCATCTCCTGGGAGTGTTAAGTACAGTCCCAAGCGTCCTCCTCCGGAGGGAGGCCGGGCTCAGTGAGGGCGCAGGAGGCCAGCCTGCCGCCTAGAGGCTGGACGGAGGCGCCCTGAGCGCAGAAACGGCACTCGGAAAGGCCCAGGATTCTCTCCCGGAACCGGGGACCCACGCGGGCCCTAGTGGACAGCGAGCGACCGCCCTGCAGGTGGGGGCCGCGGCAGAGGACAAAGCCAAGGCTTTGCCGTGGGGCCACGCGGGAGGGTTCCCAGGAGCCTCAAGGAGGCCGGAGTGCGGGTCGTGGTTCACCGCCTTAGGGGTCGGGAAGCCAAGAGCTGGGCGATGGCAGAGCTGGGCTTCCGCTAAGATCACCGCCCCTTTGCAAGAACAAAATGGGGCTGCTTGTGCGCCAGGGCAGCACGGGGAGGTGGGTGGGCCTGGGAGAAGCCGGAGGCGAGAAGGGCGGCCGCGGCCCATGGGCACCGCTCCCCCGTCTGCCCACCCGGCCTCCCTCCTCCAGGGTGGCCTATCCTAGCTTTTCCCGCCCCCCTCCACGAGGGCCGGCTCCTGATTGGCTGTTCTGAGTGGCAGCGAGGAGACACACCTGATTGGCAGACTCTGGGTCCAATCAGCTCTGGCGGGGGCGGAGCCACCATCGACAGCGCCCTCCTACGGGCATCCCACATCACCCCTCACCAACCAGACAGCCCTGAGCCCCGCGAGGGCGGCGGCGGTCAAGAAACAGCACTGAGCCACCTCTCAGAAGGCCTGAGCTCTCTCTGGCCCTTAATTTCACCACTCTAACACGGAAGGATGACACAATAAGCACGACACGAAGTAGAAATGAAGATGTTGGTGACATCATCATCTCTCTCCTGCCCAGTCCCCACGGTAGTTTCGGGCTGCACAAAGGGTGGGCTGCCAAGGTCGAGCTCTCACCCCAGCAACCATCCCTCATTTGTCCTCGGTGGTCGGCAGCGGAGGACCGACGCCCTGGGTGCTGTGGCCGGGGTAAGGTCAGCCCTGCCCATGCAAGGTGGAACAGACCCCCTTGTGGTGCAAGAACCGGAACAGCAGCTCTGGCAGGACTGAGGAGACCGGGCGGTTAACTTCACAACAGCAAAATCAGCAAGCGAAATCCTAGCTAGAGGCGCTGTTGAGCCTATTTTCCAACATGATGCTGTTGGTTAAACTGCTTTTGGCATCAGGAGAAAACTCACAGTCCTGGGTAGGTGGGTTTGAACTTGTAACACCAAGACGTGCCTGGCTGCTGCGAGGCACCAGGGACCCTCGCTCTGGGGGCTTCTCACCCTCACGGTCCCCTTCAGGGGAAGGGTGAGACTTCTTCCTTTTTTAAAGATTTATTTATTGCTTATGCATACACTGGGTGCAGGCCAGAGGTGTGAGGGGTGAGACTATTCACCGCAGACAGAGGCGGGATCATTTCGGGGAGGTGTGCTGAAATCCACGTAGGAGGGGAGCAGCAGGGACACAGGAGGGGTCTGCCGTGCCCTGTGGGTCCTCCCTGGCTGGGGACGGAACTCGTACTGCAGGGGCTGCGGGCAGCTTCACCGGGCCCACTGTAACCCGCTGGGCCACCAGCGATGGCCGGATGAGACATTTTTAAAGTCGATCCCAGCAGAATTTTCCTCCACTCTTGTTGGTCACACTTGGGTCATGTGACCTTTTCTAAGCCAATCACAGGCTAGGGACATGGCACCACATGGTTGATTTGTACCAATCAGGATTCATTTCCTGAGGCTGCAACCAGAACTTTCGCCCCCCCCAAACAGTGGACAAGAGGGACAGGGGCAGAAGAGGAGGAGGGAGGGGGAGAAGAGGAGGGGGCGCTCAGGGTTCTCTGATGAAAGCCGGTGCCATGTGTAAAGCAGGGTAACAGGGTAACGGAGCAGGCCTGCCTGGCTTCCCTTTGGCCGGGTTTTAAGTTAGCTTTCTGAGGAAGGATACATTTGTGCTCACGCAAGTATCGCAATTCCATGAAATTTTCACAAAACAGAGCACACCCCTGTAACGGGCACCCACGTGGAGAACAGAACCAGCGGCACCCTGGGGAGCCCTGCGTCACCACCCCGGCCGCATGCAGGCCTGTCGCGGGCCTCGGTGGCGCTCAGGAGCACAGTGCTCCCTAAGCACAGCCAGGGCGGCGCCGTTTGGCTTACCTCCCCCCCCCTGTGTAGGCCCTTCCAGGCCCTCGTGTCCGTTTCTTTCAGCACTTTGTTCTCCCAGGGAGGGATGACAGGGCAGCGCTTGCATCTGACGCTCAATGGCAGAGCCCCAGGGGTTCCTGGTGGGGGAGCCCAAGGCAGCAGCTGAGAAGGGAGGAAATGGGGAGGCGGCAGAGTCAGCACAGGGAGGCTGGGGGGCCAGTGTCTCCTCCGTAGCCCATCCCAACCCAACTCTTGCAGGGGTGGCGGCAATTGTGGGGAAAGGTGCTCAGGCCACCGCCAGGCCGCCCCGGGACCGCCGCCAAGTGTACCTGGAAACTGGTGGCTGATTTCTGGGAAGCTTTGGCTTTGCTGGTAAGAGGGAGGCTGTGCCCTGCTCTGTGTGGACCTCCTCCTCCGCCCACCTGGAATGCAGGTGGGGGGGGAGAGCCCACCCACTTTGCATAGAGAAGGTGGAAGCTGCAGGGAGGAGATGGGGCCACAGGAAGCCAACAGCGCAGCGCCCAGGAAACGGCACAGCCCGAGCCGCTGTCGCTGTCCAGAGCCCGCTGCCCACCTGCCACAGTGCTCACAGGGGAGCGGAGTTTCTGGGGCCCGGGAGCTGAGTAGGGCCTGGTGTGGGTCCCCGACAGCTTTGGCCTTCTCTTCTGGCATGTGGCTGAGCCTTTTCCAGCGGGGAGGCTGTCGGGGAGTCAGGAAATGTGGGTAAAGGGCCAGGAGCGCCCCAGCGTGTAACCAGTCCCGGGCAGGGTGGAGAGGATCAGTCTGTTTCCTGCGCGGTGATCTAAGCAGTAAGAACAGCGTTGTGTGGTGCAAGAAATAAGCTCCTTGCCCTACTAGATATTAAGACAGGCTGCAAAACAAAATTAACATATTAAGAAGTAGTAGGCAGGGTCCTCCCTGGTGCAGCAGGTTGCAGTGGAGCAGTGTGAAGCTGGCATGGCCACTTCAGGACGAGTTCAATCCCCGAACCCAGAGTGAGCCACAGGGTGCGGCAGACCTCTCCTGACCCGCCCACTGCTCCCCTCAGCACTCAGCAGTGGACTTCATCCATCTGCCTGTTCTGCTCCCCGCTCTGTCTCTGGAGAATCCTCTCGTCGCCCCTGCACCTCTGGCCTGCACCCCAGTTCTAGGTGCATTAATAAATAAATCTAAAAAATACAGAAGTAGTACACAGTGGAGCAAGAACAGCTGAACGGGTCAGGGAGCCAGAAGTGAGCTCGGAAAGAGACCGCGGGTTGGGCAGTGTGGCCTGTGGAACGCGTGTCTGTAGCCCAGGTTAGCGCGACAGGTGGGGGCTCAGTCTGTGGGGCCAGGGCAGGCGGCTCGGCGTGCAGGAAATTCAACCCCACCGCTCACCAGCACCACACAGAAGCCGCCAGGCATCCCAAGACCGCAGCCAGATGAAGACTCCTGTAGCAAACTACTACAAGAAAATCGGTGAGGCGGCCCTGGGGTCCCTCAACAGGGCGCGACTGTGTAAGACAGCGCCGCGGAACAGCGCGCAGGCCTGGCTGTGTCAGAGCGGAGCACCTCCCACAGGCGAAGACGAGCCTGAGCGCCGCACGCACCGCGACCTGGCCTGGAAAACGCCAAGCTACGGGGAGCAGGTGGGGCGTGCTCGGCCGCGCAGAACCCCACCGCTAGCGTGCCCCGGGGTGCTGAAGCCATCAGGGTGTCCGCGGAAACCGCACGCGGTGCCGTCGGCGGGGACCGCTCGGACAAGTCCGTGAAAGTGCCGACCACCGTAGGGCGTTCCGCACGGAGCCCCAAGGCAGGGCCGCACCCCCGCGCGGCTCAGCAGCGTCTCTCCTGGCTGCGCAGCCGAGAGTCCGTGCTGTCACCGGCGCGCGCACAAGGGCGCGCCTCGCGCTGCTCTCGATGGGGACCGGGAGGCGGCCAGCACACGTCCACCATCGGGAGCCGCCGGCCATCGTGTGGAGCAAAGCACAGGGCTGGGAGTAAAACCCACAGTGGGGGCTTAGCTGGGGGGCGCAGAGGGGCTGACACCACCCTGTCCATAGTGGACACTGCCAAGTTAGCCGCTGTCACGGTCAAAAATAAAAGCAGAAGTGCTGTTGACAAGTGACTGGGCTAGAATGACCGGCAGGCAGGCAGCAGGCAGGCTGGCTGCATTACACACAGGTATATAAAACTAAAGCCAATTACTTATATTAGAATTACACACCCATAAAACCACATCACACATTTTGTAAGACAGCAGAGGAGGGAGGGAGGGACCCGGGAGGGTGGTTTAGTAGGTGGAAGAGAGGGAGGGGGGCGGGGAGGGGAGGGTGTGGGAGGCAGCAGAAGGTGGGGGCGGGGGAGAGGCTGGGAAAGGGAAAGAGGCTCAGTACTGACCTCCCAGAACAAGCCTGTAATACTGGGCTGA